TCGAACCTAATAGGGGTGCCCTCCAACCTAGAAGCAATGGCCTCCAAGCTAGAAGCAAAAGGAACCTAATAGCGATGGCAGCGATGGCCTCCAACCTAATAGCGATGGCCTCCAACCTAGAAGCAATGGCCTCCAACCTATTACAGAGATGGCCTCCAATCTAATAGGGGTAACCTAGAAGCAAAAGAAACCAAGTAGTGATGGCCTCCAACCTAATAGCAATGGCCTCCAACCTAATAGGGGTGACCTCAAACCTAGGAGCAATGGCCTCCAACCTAGAAGCAAAGGAACCTAATAGCGATGGCCTCCAACCTAATGACGATGGCCTCCAACCTAGAAGAAAAAGGAACCCAGTAGCGCTGGCCTCCAACCTAATAGCGATTGCCTCCAACCTAGAAGTGATGGCCTCCAACCTAAGAGCGATGGTCATATGATTGCAAAGAATCCAGAAAGAAGCTTGTCTATATCTATTTGTTCTATTTCTCCCCCTTGTTCTGGGTCCAATCTGTCTGAGGAGATTTCAGCTAGTTTTGATTTGCTTGTGAACCCACAAGTCAAGTCATGCGTTGCCCCAACAGTATCCGTAACGGAACATACACTTACTGAGCACTCCTGTTCGTTCCGAACGATCCGGTGAACGCCCGATACTTCGAAGGCGCGGAACCGGCCCTTTTACGAGTTGGTCCGTGGCTCCATGGCGGAGGCGATCGAAACGAATGGCCCGGACACTTTTGAGCGGTGGCTCCGGCAGTTCCACAGTGAGCGGGACGGGTTGCTTCGCGAAAGGTTTGAAGATCAAGTTGAGGCTTTTTCAATGAACCGAATGTTTTGCAAAGCCTGTTCGCTTGCAATTTCCTGCTTTACAAATCATTCGGTTCAAGTCCGGCGTGCTTGGGAGGACGATGAGTGGTTTGCCAACAACCGTACCCGAGTCTACAATGCTTCTTGGTGACAGTTTGATGAATGCCTTTGCAAAAAGAAGAGTGAGAAGTAACTGGACTGAAGACATCTGAAAAACTTTCTCTTTGGAAAGGGGCTGTCCAAGGCTTTCCGCCCGCACTGGGATGAAGTCGTTGCGAAAGGTGCCACAGACAAGTGAGAGCAAAAAGGTTTGCGCTTTGCACCCTTGCAAGCTTGACCTCTCAATGAACTTCTGGTCTAGTCGAGTCACATTCCGATCAGCTTCCATCTTCTCAGATTCAGCTTCGTGGGCTCAAGAGAAAAGTGCCAAGCCCACAGGACTCGCCGGCTCGCCATGATGACTGCGGATGATAGGCCGCTCTTTCCGATGGAGAGAGATGAACGCTGAGGTTTAAGTAGGTTAAACTCAAAAGATTAAAGGCTGGATAACTCCAGATGTGAAGCTTTTGTGTTTATAACAAAGTGGAGTCAAAAGTGGAAGAAAGTTTTCCCGCAAGCTTTGTCAAGCACTGTAAGATCTGTAAGCATTTGGGACTGTTAGGCTATAGCTTGTGGGTGCCTGGAGTAGACCAATGCCCATTCTTGGTTTCTGATAGGCCCTTCGAAGTCTTGCACTGTTCAGAGCGCCACCTCACAGGCGCACGTTGGATTTCCCCTTCTCGCCCCCGAGCTTTGTTTTGCCGATTGTTAGCGTGTGATCTCACACGTGCTGCAAGTCTTGCTCAATTATGTCTGCATTTTGTTCGCATGGCTTGACTGTGAGTTTTGTGTGTGCTTTCCTCTTCCAATGGGTGCAGAGCAAATGAAATGCTTTCATTGTGTTTTGTTGGCATCTTGGTTCTTTTGTCTCCGACGACTTGGGATGCCTTGCGGATTCTAGTTGGAAAGACCCACGTCTTTCCAAGCGCTTCGAGTTGGCCACTTGGATCTTGCTGGGGCTCAGACCCCCCTTTTCGATGCAGTGCCTTTCGTAGCTTCTTTTAGTTGAGTGATTAGTGGTTCTTTCACGCTTTAGGGAATAGCCACAGCTTCTGTCGAAGCACCACAGAGGAAATGCAGAAAGAAGCGGGTGTATGCAGATGATGAGGGGAGGAGGGCAGCAAAACGGTGAACATAGATTGTCGTGAGTGACTAAGTGAGTGAGTGAGTGAGTGAGTGAGACGAGAAGCACGGCAAAGCGAGAACGGCTGGCTTGACCAGCCCTCAAGTGCATCCACAAGGACTTGCTGGCATGTTTCTTTCAAGCCATCGCAATTAGGATGGAGGCCATCGCCATTGAATCACGATGGCCTTGCACCTACAAGAATGCACTAAACAGTTTGTTTGTTGCCTCTTGCAGGGCCTCTGCTGCCGAAAAGGGCGAAGTGCAGCCGGTGCAGGGAACACCAATAGGCGGGATCCACTCTGAGAGGCCGCGAAGCGATTCATTCTTTTTTAACTATCCTAATAGCAAAAGGAACCTAATGGCAATGGCCTCCAACCTAATAGCATAATTTACACACATCTGCTACTGATCTGGATCAGCCGGAAGTAGCTGAGGCTGAAGTTGCAGTTCGAACCGTTGTGCCTTGAAAGGTGTTCCGCAGATGGGTGCCATTGAAGCTATTGTGGTGTCCGTAGCAGCTTTGTCAACTGAGGCATGCTTTGGCGAAAGAGTGAGAGAGGTCACAGAGATCTAATGAGCTCGACACATAATCCCCTCTCCCTAATAATAAACGGGGCCCCCTCCCCCCCCCCTATTAATAAAAACCATGGGGTGTTTTTACTAATAGGGGGTGTTTATTATTGAGGGGCACCTGTTGTACCCCCCAAATGGGCAATGTTCTGTTCGCCCTAATAAAAAGTAGGGTCTCGAAAGAAAATCCCTGGGTTCCCAATCTAATTAATTATATATATAAAATCCTTGTTAAAACGACCATCAAAAAAACAACAAAGGGTCAAATCGAAGGTCTTCCCCCTCTTGTTGGTTTCCTAGACCAACTGTTGATGCACCCAATGAATGAAAACACATCGCTGCAAAGAGCAATGGATAGCGCAATCAGGAAAGCAAAATTAATTAGGAACATTGGCACAGACTCCTGCTTAGTATTAGGGGGCCACAAAACAGCAAGAATGGATCTTGGAAAGGAGGCAACATGGAAAAAGCATGGGTTCCAAATCTATATAAAATCCTTTATAAAGCGACCATCAAAAAAGCTAAAAAGGGTCAAATCGAAGGTCTTCCCCCTCCGGTAGTTTTTCGGAAAGGGTCAACCTAATAAGGCACAGTGCTTCTTTTTTGTTCGGACCGACAGTGAGCGAGCGCGAGAGGGAGAACCAGGGTCTCGCGGTCTCGCCGAAGAGAGAGAGGGAGAGAGGTATTTTTTGGGGAGGATTGGAGATGTTTTTAATATTAGGGGGAATTCGGGTTATTTTTGCTGTCCCCCTAATACACCTAAAATCTGGGGCACCCCCGACTGTGGACCCACGAGTATTGAATTTCAAAGGGAGCAATTTCAAAACGCTACTAACAATTTTTTGGGGTCGGGCACATGTGTTTTTATGAATTGGGGTACGTTTATTAATAGTAACTCGGGATTAGAAAGTATGACACCTTTCTGAGAAACAAATGATTTCTTTTTCTTTTTCTCTCTCTCTCTCTCTGTCATGTCTTCTCTGAGTTCGACGAAAGGAGCAGGTGGTCCTCAATTACCGAACCGCCGTGATGTGCTTCGCGACGTTGGACATTCTCTCCACCCTGCTGAATATGGTCGCAGGACTGGTGAGCACAAGGCGCCAAACCAAAACATGTCCTCAGCCAAGGTCGTATTTGTTGCGAATGAGCGGAAGGTCAAGCGGAAAGGATGATATGAAAAAAAGGGCTGAAGGGTCCAAAAGAAGGAACCGTAGAAGGAAGGGATAACAGGTTGCAAAACACCGACATCCAACCATCGGGACACAGAGTAAAGGTGGGGACTTCTTTGGTGTTTGCTGGCGATCTTCTTGGTTGGCCCCCTGAGTGGCTTGCTTGGAGCCAAGCACTTGAACCGGAAGCTGGTCTCAGCACCTGGGCAACGAAGAACTGTGGCTGTTTCGGCATGATCGAAAACCATTGTGGCGATCATTGGTCATACTTCTCCTCCAACCTAATAGCAATGGCCTCCAGCAGCAGTTGAGGTCTACTTGGGATTTTGCTTCCTGAAAGCTGGAGTTGAAATCGCTTTGGCAATCTACACCCTGTGGCTTTGGAACATCATTTTTGCCATCCTGCAGGCCTGGCACACGTCGGGACTTACTTTCTGAACATCAAATGATGCTTCTTACCATCTTGAGCGTGTCCTCACAGGAAATCATTCCAAGTTGTTCATGACTTGCAAGATCAAATCTCGTGCAAAACACAGTGGTTTTGGGAGGGGCAGGGCATGCAGCATGTAGCACAGACCGGGCAGCGACCGCGCAGGTGTGGATCATCAAGATCGTGGTGTCCTTCTGGACCGCGCTGGGCCAAATCCCGGAACAACGACGCTCTGAGTTATTGGACCTGAAAGAAGCTGTGCAAATGGTCTACTGGTGAAGTGGAAGAGGAAGAGGCTGTGCGGCCTCCCTAATATGGATGGCTAATGTCCATCCAACTTGTAAATGTGAAAGGGCCAGAAGTGTACAGGATGCCCTTTGTGACTTGGATATGGCGCCCGAACGGAAGAGAGCAGTCTTGTTTGGAGCCGCATCCACCTGGTGATTCTTTTTGCGCTTGGTGAGGCACGGTCAAGATGAACAGATCCCGAAATTAATCTCTCCACTGGTCCAATGGTGCGTTTTGCTGATCTTGACCATCCTCCTTCCCTCGTTCTTGGACAAAAAAGCTTTCCAAGGCTTTTGCAGTTGTACAGAACTGGTTCAATCCAAGTACTTCAGTACTTCGTATCCCAAGGTGGTCACGGTTTCACAGGTGCCATACTTGCCCACGATACGAGCTCGTATGATGGACCTCTGCAGGTGATGGAAAAAGGTCCCCCGCCGCGGCCCACGGTGACCGTCAAGGCGGTCCGAGGACCAACTGGACAAGTGCATCGCTACTAGGAACAAGTGCCTTACTATATAGTAGTAACAATGTTTGCTGTGGAGACCAGAATGGTCGCAGTAACAATAAACAGTTAATTTGTTTTGGGTGGGAGGGGGGGATCTTGAACCTTGTACCATTTTGGCTCAAGGTCCCCCTCCTTATCTTTGTGACTTTAGGTGGGGGGTGATGGAGGGTCTTGTGCCCGATCGGGCCACGTTAGACACGTGGTGAAGTATCGTCGACGCTGCCACTTGGGGCGGCCTTGAAGCTGGGTTGGTGCGTTGTGTAACGCGCCAGTTGGGCGATCCTGCATTGACATCATTGCAGGTCCTGGCAGTTATCCCAGTAGAGGTCTTTGAAGCAGCCCTTGTAGCAGCGACTAGGGGTGATAGGCACCTTACAGAGACTGAAAAGGCACAGTGGAGGTTGGTGCAGTCAGCCGTGCGTGTGAAGTTCGGAGACCCTTTGTTGTTTTCCACAGCTTTGGCATCTCCCCCACCGGCGATCCCTACGGCTAACGCCACAGGGTCAGGGAGTGCCAAGATCAAAGTGAAGATGAACCAGGTGATTGGTCAAGGAGTTGACATTGAAGTTGAAATGCTGCCTGGCACCACACTTCAGAAGTTGAGAGCACAGTTTGTGGTAGCAGAAGGGGACAATCCATTGGAGAAAGAAGAAGTCACGGATGCACAGCTCAGCTGCCTTCACCACAAGCTGATGTCAGGTCAACCGCCCTTTGTGGATATTGGGGTGTGGGGGCCGCATGGTGACAGAATCGCACGTGCAATGCGGTTCGTTTCCCAGCAATGGCGGGACGGCGAGTGGAAAGCAGTGGAGCTACCTGGAGCAGCAAATTTAGACGCTTGGGAAGAGTCTTGGCGAATTTTTCGCACGGGTGCATTGATGCTACAGTTAGCTACAGCTGCAACATTGGACAGGTACGCTGCAGAGTTCCGTACCAGAGTTCTTCAACACCCGGACGTGTGGCACTTGGCAGCTCAAGCAGATATCAGGTATCGGACAGAATTTTGGTCCCAAGAAAAGAGAAAACAGGAAGCTTTTCATACCTCCCATCCAGCTTTGTCGGCCTTTGTCCCCACACAACCATGGAATTCGGTTTTGAGGGCTAGTGCATCTCATTCAGAGTTCTGGTCAGGCGAGTTCGAGAAACCGGCCATGCTCTACACCTTCAATTCGGCAAAGGCTGTGCCTGCGAGGCCAGTGGGGCCAGGTGGCAATGAAGAGCAACAATGGATGAAGCCGCAGCCAAAGAAACGGGCGACAGGCACCTTTGATCCTCAACAGAAAGATGGGAGGTATTTCAAAAGCAAGACTGGCGTCAACATATGCTACGCCTGGTCCAGGGCAACAGATGGGTGCTCCAACGATCGTTGTGACAAAGGATATGCTCACATATGCGAATGGTGCAGGGCCCCGCATAAGTCGATTGACTGTCCGCACAGCCCAGGATGGAACCCGGAAAAGAAGGGCAAATCCAAAGGGAGGGGCAGGGGTGGAGGCAATCCACCCAAGCGCCCGAAGCATATGTGACTAGCTGGCCCGTCGGTGGCTCATGAAGTTGAAGATGCCGGCATCGAAAAGAAGTTGGATGAGCTTCGTGAGCGGTTGAAAAGAAGGGCAGCAGAAGTTGAATTTGGTGCAAGCAAGAGAGCTCGCGTTTCTTCTACTCCAAAGGAGAAAGGAGGGATGACAGAGTTGCAATCAGACAGTTGTTTCATGGAACTCTTTGCTGGCGAGGCTGGGTTGACGCAAGCGGTCAGCCGACTGGGCGTGAGCGTCTTCGAACCTGGTGAAGTCAGAGAAGGAGGCAGCGTTGCAAAGGGAATTGACTTACTATGCAATGACACTTTCAAACGGATCGAGGGATCGTTATGCACGTGCTCGGCAACTGAGATCAGCGCAAAAGCCAGAAGGTCTTGAACCAAAATCAGCACGGGTTCGAGAGGCGAATACACTTCCATCTAGAGCCGCGCAACTATCCCTGTTGCACTGGAAAGCAGGTGGCTGGTTTACAATGGAAAACCCGGAAGGGTCTTACATTTGGTTGTATGGGCCAGTCAAGAGACTTTTGCAGTTGGACAAGGTGAGGCTCATTGCTGGAGATCAGTGCCAGTTTATGGGAGAGTTTGTCAAACCTACAGGGTGGCTCACAAACGCAGAGTTCCCACAAGTGTTGCAAAGAAGATGCCCGGGCAGGCCTACCCACAAGCATGAACCTTTGATGGGTTTTACTTTGGATTTCTACGGCAACGAAGTTTTCAAGACTGCACTTGCTGCGGAGTATCCACAAGGCCTATGCATCGAGCTTGCCAAAGGCTATGTCGAGGCAGTGAAGAAGGCAGGGCCGAGACAAGTCACTTGGGTTCAAAAGTTTGAGGAAGATGTCAAGGACAAGGACCTGTGTTCAAAGAAGGCTCATCGTGAACGAGAAAACGAACAATGCGTCGGAGGACTACGCAACCCTTGGCAGGCCATCAACAAACTGCCTCACTGGAAGACAGTGGGAAGACTAGTATGGAGGACCCTGCAAGCCAGTTTGGGACAGTTGGATGAGTTTCGCAACTTGGCAACCTGGGTGGGGTTCGAACGGGACATGTCACAGAAACATGAGCTTGACTGGGTGAGATCCAGAATAGGACACACATTGTGCTGCCAGACGCAAGAGACGGGTCTGTGGGGCAACTTGCTGGAGAGGCTGGTGGACAGCAGTCAAGACCCGGATGTCGAGGTTGCAACTTGGCCAAACAAAGGAACGCCACTGGGCATCCTTAACGAAATCCCGCCTGGAGGAGTCTTTCCAAAGGTTGAAGAAGGACTAGACTGCGAGGAGGATGAAAGGATGAACTCGTTGGAAGAACTTGATGGCGCGTTGAACAATTACAAGTCGTATGACGAGGCAAAGAGCGCTGCCGATGAGTTGTTCAGGAAGGAGCTGGAGAAGGGCTTTGTACAACGGGCCGAACGCAGGGAAGACCTGGAGGTTCACTATGGACCACTAGTGCCGTCTGCGATTGGTTACATTGCCAAGATCAAGTTTGATGGATCCGTGAAGGGCAGGTTGGCGCACGACCTGAGAAGGAGCCAAGTCAACGAGCACATTGAGCTGCAGGAGCGTCTGCTGTTGCCAAGTACTACATTTGTTGGAGAATAAGACACCAGAGGAGAGAGTACAGTTCATGAGCGTTGACTTTGCTGACGCGTTCAAACAGCTTACAGTCAGAGAGAATGAATACCGGTTTCTTTCAGGAAGAGCACTTGGAGGGTACTTCATTTACAAGACTGCATTGTTTGGCATAAAGACGGGACCATTGGTCTGGGGCAGGATGGCTGCCCTAATATCCCGTTCAACACAGTCCCTCTTCCACAACAACAGGTTCCGGCTACAGACCTTCGTGGATGACCCGTTGATAGTTGCGCGGGGCACAGAGCTTCAGTTGAACAGCATATTCAACGTTGTACTTTTGTGGTGGTAGGTTCTGGGCTTGAAAGTAGCCTGGCACAAGGGCACCATTGGACATGAAGTTGAGTGGATAGGTGCGAAGCTGGAGGTAGACAATGACAGAGCCTATGTCAAGGTCAGCGTGACGCAAGCCAAGGTGGAGGAGTGGGGATTGCTCGAGGCATTGGAAACAAAGCCATTGGTAGCAAGGAAACCTCTTCAGCAGTTCACTGGGGAGATGTCATGGGCTGCCGGATTTGTCCCCCAGCTGAAACCATTTGTGAGGATGTTGTATGCTGCAATGGCCACCCAACCTACAAAGCTACAAGGGCAGTCGCAGATTTACTACAGACAAGTTGAGCCAGTCTTACATTGGTTCAGAATGTTTCTTTGGAGCATTGGAACTTGCGGGTTGGAGCGTTTTGTGTATGCCCACACCAGGCGCAGATGTCGACTAGATTTCTTGGTTGACGCCTCCCCTTGGGGGGAGGTGCGGTGTGTCTGAACGCAGGGGCACCAGTTGAGACATTTGCACTGAAGTGGACAGCCGAAGATGAACGGCGCACAGGGGCAAAGATAGGTGAACCAGGATCACAAGCATTGTGGGAAGCATACATGATGCTGCGCTGTCTGTGGCTATGGGTGCAACCTCACGAACAGGGATACATCCGTATTTGTGGGGATGCGCAGGGGGTTCTTGCAGCTTTGGTCAAAAATGCCGAAATCACCCTTGTTGAATGCAGTGACAAAAGAGGTGGCCTTGCGCTTAGCTGTCCATTTTGCTTCAATCGAAGCGATGCACATATGGAGCGAGCGCAATGAGTGGGCAGCTGCCTTGTCCCGGAGCCACATGCCGATAGAGCTAGCTCACCCGCCAAGGGCGAAGACAGCGCCTGAGCATTGGCATGAATAGTGAGAAATCAGTGAGGGGGACAGAGTTCCCACACTGCAGGCATGTGGGAGAGGGTAGACGATCGAGACGGGATCGAAACCTGGGTGGAAGGTTTGCGCGCGCTTGTGCTTGTATCATGAGATCAGCAAGTCATGGCCACCCGTGCAAGGCTTGGGGAGCGCCCAGCCAAGCGCAAGCAGCGCACCAGGGAGTGCAGCAAGCAAGAGACCGCGCATGCAAGCAGGACAGTGCAAGCCAGAGTTCATTCACATTGATGTAGGCGTTAGTTGTTCTGCAGCCATTTCCGCAGCTGTTTGCAAGAAAGGATGAAACGATATCGTGGAGATCTTCCCAGAGAGGAAGCCCAGACTAGATGGCCTGGGCTGTAAGTGAGACCGTCGTCCTCACGCGCACCCACCCTGCATCTGATATGCAGGCGTCGTCAAATCTCTTGATGCCCCGCGTCACGTGCGACGTGTGCCATGTCAGGCTGGATGTATCCCTAGCCGAAAGCTGTGATCAGTGCGATGCAGGTGCCTTTCATGTTGAGTGCTTGGTCAAGCGCGGGAAGCCCCTCAGGAAGTTTGGTCCCAGAAGAGAATGAGGATACAGAAGAAGAGGATGACAGGAGGGAATCGCCGTCCAAGCTGCCAAAGATCTACAGTGGAGACAATTTGGACATGATGATGAGACAGGCAGCGGCCAAACCTTCGGTGGAGGAGGCAGAAAGGCCAGAGATTGCAGACAAGAATGCGAAGAAGGGCGCGTCAGCCCTGACTACGCCAGCGCCTGGCACCCCTTTTCGAAAGACAGAGCCAGTGGTGAAGCCATATGCTACGGTACAAGAGATCGTGGAAGACCCAGAAGCTTTCCGAAAGGCAATGGAGGAGTTTCAGTCGGACAAATTCGCCCAATCAAATCAAGCTACGCACAAAGCCAGAGTCCAGCGGTGGGAACACCGAGCCTTCAGCTTGGATGTGGACCCGTTCCCTCTCACCGTCAGCACAGTTGATATCGCTCAGGCTTTGCTCAAGGCTGGACAATACCGTCCAGCAGCCCAGTACTTTGCGAGCATGAAGAGAGAACGTGCGCTGAAAGGCTACCCAGTTCACCCTGGCAATCAAGGATGCTATCCGATCCTGTGTGTGAGGCATTGGTGCAGACAAGCAATGCTTGGTGATGGGTTTGAGAAGGTTGGAAGGTCTCCAAGAATCCAAGAAGTAGAGGCAGTAGAGGATGGGCCACTGAGGACCAAGGACGTCGTTGTTTTGTTTGCGCTCTTCGCATGCCGGGAGATGGAAGCAGCGGTCAGAATGGTCAGACACGTGCAGCTCGAAGAAGGAGGAGGGGAGAAGTGCGGTGTGGTGTCATTGTATCTCCCCGCCACCAAGACTGATACGAAAGGAGAGGGCATTTTGCGAAAGCAGGCTGTTTGTGTGCGACCTACCCCAATTCGTGCCCTGTGGCTGCCGCGAGACGCCTGATGCGGCTGGCAAGGGAGAATGGACACCAAGATGATGACCCTTTCCTGGTGACTTCCAAGCCCAAGCAACCGCCGACGAAGGCAGCCATGGTGAAGGCCTTTAGAAGGGTGGCATTGGCGCTGGGTCACTCCGAAGAAGAAGCGCAACAGGGCCATGTGCTCAGGCCTATGGGGGCTCAATTCATGGCGCGATTGGGCATCGATTCTACAAGATTCAGATGTTCTGTAGATGGGGAAGCGAGAGCATTTTGAAGTACTTGCGCGAGGTCCCTATGGAAGATGCTGATCAGCGGGTTGCTGCAAGTTTGTCAATGGGGGAAGTTATGACTCATTCGGCAAAAGCCTTGGAGTTGCATGGTGATCATCCCAAAGCCAAGAAGATGGCCAAGGCGATTCAGGATGCCTTGGAAACCAAATGCACGCAGATCATGGTGAGTGCCACTCAATCCAAAGAGGAGATCGAGAAGATTTTGACAGAGCCCAGGGCCAAAGCTGGAAGAATGAATGACAAATGGATTGAGGAACTCTCGAGGCAGTTCCTGCCGAAAGTCGTGCTCAATCAGTCGAGCAACATCTTCCACGCAGTAAAAGATGCATTTAACTCCGGATGTGGCTATGAATATAGAAACACCCGAGAGTGCAAGTTTTCGAACGCCGTTCCGAATTGGAGGCCGTCGCTATTAGGTTGGATGCCATCGCGAGCAGGTTGGAGGCCATTGCTATGGTTGGATCCCATCGCGAACAGGTTGGAGGCCATCGCTATAGGTTGGATGCCATCGCGAGTAGGTTGGACGCCATCGCTATAGGTTGGATGCCATCGCGACCAGTGGCAGGTGGTTGGAGGCCATTGTTATTTGGTTGGAGACCATCGCGAGCAGGTTGGAGGTCATTGTAATTTGGTTGGAGGCCATCGCGCGCAGGTTGGAGGCCATCGCGAGCAGGTTGGAGGCCATTGGTTCGAGGCCATCGCGAGTAGGTTGGAGGCCATCGCTATTAGGTTGGATGCCATCGCGAGCAGGTTGGAGGCCATTGATATTAGGTTGGAGGCCATCGCGAGCAGATCCCGACAACTCCAAGTATCGCATGTGCGAGAAGGCAGATTGTGTCAAGTTGTTTGAGGCGTGCGCCAAAGCACTATAAGCCGAGGAGAGATGAAAAACGGGGACGCCCGAGTTTGGTTGTAGATGGGGGTGATGGGAGGGCTTCCTCCACACCCAAACGGTCGATGATCCGGCCGGTGATGGGAGGTACGAGATGCAGCCCACGCTGGGCCCGCAGCACCTCTACACCAAGTCCAGACCTACGCCGTGAAGGCGGGTTGCTTTCAGCAAACAGATGGAAAATTGGGCGGAGGGATGGTTTGGACGATTTTCCTGTCTCATCATGTAAGCTGTGCCTGTTAGTAGCTTATTGTTTCTATTTATTTCGGAAAAGAGGGGAAGAGGAGGGGAGGAGGCCATCACTAGTAGGTTGGAGGCCGCTCTTAGGTTGGGGGCTTACTAGGAACAGGGGCCTTACTACCAGGAACAAGAAGCTAGTAGAAACAATAAATAAATAGAAACAATAAGCTACCAGCAAACATTGTTATTGCTAGTAAGGCACTTGTTAGTAGTAGCGATGCATTTGTTCCTAGTAGCGTGGCACTTGTTCCTAGTACTCTTCAATGGTCTAATGTTTTGGTCGTGTTTGGTCCATTTTCTTCGCCGGACCTGGCAGCCGCCCGGCAGCCCGACGTGATGTAAGTTTGGCTGTTGGCTGTGTGGCTCAGAAAAAGGAAGGTAGACCAACTGCCATGAGCTGGAGACTTGTTTGACACTTGAAGTTCCAATCCAAAGCTGCGACTGGGTTTTCCTGCTAGTTCACCGGACATTTGGCCCAGTTGTTCGTCCAGCTCAGGATTGACCTTGTGGTGTCAAAAAGCAACACAGAGGCCAGAAGAGGGCGTTGGCCCAGGAACTCGTGCATCCAATTTGCTGTGGCGGCCTCCTTTGCAAGCATGGCTTGAATTGACTAGTAACAAGGGCATCGCTACTAGTAACATCTAGTAACAAGATATTTCAAGTTTTCAATTTTTCTATGTTAAGGACAAATTGACGGTCTTTGTGTCTTACCTCTTTCTTTTTGAATTCTTCAAGATACCGCTGAGACATGACGCTACTCGCTGACGCGCTCAGGCGACATGACTCTTATTTCGCCTCCGGCGGGTTTGAACTTGGCGGCTCCGGCGGGTTTGTTGGCGCTGTGAGATGAAACCAAAAGCGGTTGGAGGCCATCGCTATTAGGTTAGAAGCTTCTAGGTTTCGAAAGATTTGTACGGTATTTGATTCTTCAGACCTCATTTCTGATGATGTTACGTTTCGGAATAGCATTTGCTTCAGCCTTTCGATCCAGGCGGGCCTGGCTTTTGGCACTCAGAATCTTCTCGGCGTTCAGGGCCCAGAGAGGGGGTGTGTTTTCTATGGAAGTCCGTTTATACCTTTTTATGCTGGGTACCAGCAGGAAGATGGAAGTGAAAAGAAGGAAGAAAGGAAAACAGGGGGCAAGGCAACAAAATGGAACGGAAGGGAGGGCAAGGAGAACACATTGCGGTGAGCGCAGCCTTTGGTGAAGTTTAGCTTCGGAATTGCAGAATCTTTGGATCCAAGCAACTCACAGCAAGTCGTGCTTTCGGCGATTGAGCCGGAGCTTGCCACTAGCCAATGTTCACGCAGCATCGAATGAAATAATTCGATGCTGAAGAGTAGTTAGTATTAGTATCATGGGGCTTGGGAAGAGTTGGCCAACAAGAGATGAACAAAGAATAAGGTCCCTTTAAGGGGGGCCTATCAGAGGGGCCCTTACCTTCTTTATTTATCTCTTCTCGGACAACATAGGACATAGGCCCCGGCATTGCAAAGATATGAAAACACGACATGCGTTTCTCCTTCCTCCCATTTGTCCTTCCCGCCTGCCTTCCTTTCTTCCCCTTGGCACTTAGGGCGAGGTGAGGTGCCAAAACCGAAGCCCAAGCCAAGCCCAAAGAGTCTGAAAGAAGACCAAGCCAAGCCCAGCGGCAGACATGTGGCTTGCCCGACTTGCCCAGCGGTAAAACGCGTGGACTGGCGAAGAATCAAATTGTAGGACTCTTCGAGGAAGGAATGAGTTGGATAGCCCACAGAAAAACGACACCGGCTGCTTAGCCATGATGCTTCTGATATTGGGATGGCACTTGCTCGAGTTGTGCTGCTTCTAATCGAGCGTGACTTCGCCCGCCTTCTTCCTAGGCATATGGCGCGCAGGGTCTTCTTGGCGTTCAGGGCACTCCTGGCGAATGGGTGTGCGCATGCGGTTTTAGAGTCTTGGCTGTGGCTTCAAAGGAAATGCGACAAGGTACTCAATAATTCTTATATGTATCCTAATTTGGCTACTTATACTTCAAAAAAGAAAGGAGACTTAAGCTACTCAAGAAACTTGTAATGCACTTATAACAGATATTTTCCAGATATGAAAATTGTAATGCACTTCGGACCCAGGAAACCGGGATTCGAACCTGAAGTGCGGTGGCAACGGGCCCATGGGATGCAAGTCCCCAAAGCCTGGCGTGGCCGTGCAAGTGCCTCAATTAGCTCCATCCCTGATGACAGGCGACGCTACGAACGGGGCTCCTGACCGTACTACTAGGAACAAGAAGCTACTAGGGTGCTAGGCTGAGTAGAGGCGGTAGTAGTGGCTATAGAGGTAGCTAGTGGCTAGGTAGCTAGTAGCTACAAGGACGCTCCTACATATGGACGCAGGATAGCAGGATAGCTCACGCTTCTTCAAGGAAGCTCGCACTAATCATTTGGTTCCTAGATCTTTTTGGAAACTTAACTAGTAGCAATGACCTCCAACCTAAGAGCGATGGCCTCCAACCCACTTTTTTCTTTGACATGTTCCTAATATGACATTTCAATTCCTTTTTTCTTCTTCTATCTCTGGTCCAGGTTTGACCGCCTACCCTACTGTCGATTCGAGAGTACCAGCAGCCTTTCAGGCCAGATGGTGGGAAGGGAGGCAGATGGGAGCTGGAGAAAAACAGCCTTATGCGAAGGAGCACGCCCATTTGCAAGTCATAGTCTGTAGCCTTTTGGTATGAGGTCAAACATGGTCAAACAATTCTCGCAAACAATTCTGGCAGATGATGACCTAAAATGCCTAGTTTTCGAGCAAGGATGGGGCTAATTTCAAGAATTTTCGCAACACGCAATCCTACAGAAACTGTAGTTAGTAGATGTTAGTAGTTACAACCAAGCTGCTATGAGGTCTAAGGAGGTAGGTGCAGATCACATCCAGACAAGCTTCCAAAGTGTAGAAACCTGAAGCTGAGCTTTGCGGCCATGGAGCTCTGCCATTTAAAAGAGATAGGCTTGCCAATGGCTTCGATGGCGACCCTCAATGGTGTGCACAAAGAGCCACGCAAGCCCAAAGAGGCACCCAAAGAAGCGCACACATTGCAAGCAACACCTGTTGAGAAAGGCGACAAACGAGAGATGCGTCCGCAGAATGCATTGGCGCAGCCCGCCACGCATGCGACTCGACCCTTGTACATGGATGGAACCTACATCTTCGAATGTGAGGCCCAAGTTCGGGAGATGAGTCTCAACGAGGGGGTTTTGAGCATAGAGCTGGACCAGACGCTTTTCCATCCACAAGGTGGAGGTCAACCTAGTGACACAGGCCTGTTGTGTGCGAAAGGTTTGTCGGACCTCAGTGTGGTGTTTGTGTCCAAGGACAAGGTCAAGGAAGGTGTCATCCGGCATGATTGCAAAGCTGATGAGGCTGTCATACAGGCTTGGCTGAGCCACAAAGGTAAGGAATTGAAGGTGCATTGTAAGGTTGATGAGCCAAAGAGACGCCTAGCAGCAAGATTGCACTCTGCGGGTCACCTGCTTGACGTCGCAATTTTTGGGCTCGGTTTCCGATGGCAAGCAGGCAAAGGCTATCATTTTGAGGAGGGCCCATACGTGGAGTACATTCCCACAAACGAGGGAAGACAGTTGGACATGAAGGACGCGAAAGCCAAGACTGTTGCAATGGAAGAGATCTCTGCGAAGATGAAGGAACTCGTTGCTAAGAATATCTCTACCGAGATAGGCTTTGTGGATGGGATGAGGACGATCAGCATGGATGGAGTTTCCTGTGGCTGTGGAGGGACTCATGTCGAGTCCAGCAGTGAGATTGGGGAGGTGTCCATCAAAAAGATACAAGCCAAGCAGGGGAACATCCGTGTGTCGTATGCTGTTTGATGTCCGACCCATGTCCCGTGATCAGCGATGAAAGATATGCTTTGCCGCGGAATTTGGTTTGATGTGTGCCAAGGCAGCTTTCATACTGTAGTCTTTCAATTTCTCCGCTTTAGAAGACATTGGTGCTCATTGCAAGTGCTCATTTTGGCCTAGTTTGTGATTATCATCACTTGTCCCTCATGCTGCAAGAAGCTACTAGGGGCTCCTGGCATCGCTACTAGGAGCCATTACGCTACTAGGGGCTCCTGGCCGTACTACTAGGAGCAAGTAGCTACTGGTAACAAGAAACTCCTAATTGCAACTTGTGCCATAAAACGACCCCTGGCCCCTCTCGGCCGACGCCGACGCGGCCGACGCCAGGCAGCTGCACAGCTGGCTCAGATGGCTCCTGTGGCTCCGATCAGCTACGGCCCACAGCGAACGAGGGCGATACCAGGTGCACCACAGAGACGAAACGGAAGAGACCCTCGTTGAGGGCATCTTTATTTTTGTATCGTTCTTTTCAGCCTTTTGCTGGTTTGGACGGCTGGTTTTTTTTGTTTCTCTTTAGCCAAATACAGTTTCCACTTCCGTCTTGCCTCACTTTCCACTATTTGGCTAAGTCATTCAGACGCCCAAACCCAGCTCAGGGGGTGCTTCACCCTATGGCGGCAAGGCAGGCGTCGTTGCTTTCAGTCTTGGCGACTGGTCTTCGGAACCAGGCCAAGAGCGCACCCGGTGTGAAGAGCGGTGATTGGAAGTGCCGATGTGGCTTTAGCTCCTTGGCCTGAAAGATCAGAACAAGAAGCTACTAGTAACAAGGGCATTACTACTAGTAGCAAGAAGCTACATTTTTGCAGTCTAAGCAGAATCTTGGCCAGTTCATGTGAAGGGATACGGCAGATTCTTTGCCTTATAATTACTGCCGTGTGTGCTAAACTTGGCAGTTGTGGTGGTATCGTACAATTTCTGCCGTTGACCTGTCTTCCTTGGGACGAAGTCAAGGCAACAAAGCAGCAAATCAGTGACTTGGCGACCTTTCAGGGTCATTCGTGGAAGCGATCTGTTTGGGTTTTGATGGGGTTCTGGCTCTTGAAAGAAGTGCCATAGTTTCTGTTTCACCGAAAGTCGAGATACCATGTCAATTGATGTCCATGCAGATTGCAAGGCTTTGTGGTGGTGGTGGAGAACTTGGCTGCAAAGCTGCCAAAGAGTGGATTTGTGGCTTCTTAGAAGCACTTAGATGACATTGCTAGTAGGTTGGAGGCCATCGCTAGTAGGTTGGAGGCCATTGCTAGTAGGTTGGAGGCCATCGCTAGTAGGTTGGAGGCCATCGCTAG